CAATGTAGTTTCCAAGCGTTATTACGTCACTATTGATCCAATATCATGATGATAAACATTTCCACGCTCGTACTCCAGCTGTCTATTTATAAACCATAATATATTCCTATTCCATGAGATGAGATGAAATTCAATCAGTTTTCATCTCAGAGTTATCTAATGTTTCACCTATCTATCGGAGATACTGACTTATACATGCATACCACTATATTTTCTCGGTTGAATACAACTCTATTTCTACAGGGACGAAATAACCTCACATCGTATGAATATTCGGGTAATGACTGACTTTGGGATATTTAGTTATAAATTCACTTTAATAGTTTGATTTAAATATTTGTTGTTGTAATATTGCAAGTATTATACAATTACTTTAACATTTTTTTAAAGATCATATTAATATAATTATAAACCTTATATATGAAATATATTTTTAAATTTAGTCCCTCGCCCCCTTGGCTATTATCGCCGATTTTACGTCGCCGGATTGATTAACATCATCAATCGGTCATTTTTGGCATTGACGTATTTTCGCTCGGAAACGTAAGGGCGATAAGACTCGATTTTCAAGGACACAGGTTGTTCGCACGGACTGTTTCTTTTGTTTCTAGATCGTTGTCTAGGAACATAACAACGTTGTTTTTAGTGAATACAGAATATGTTCTGCTTCAATACTGAATTTTGATATGCCAATCGGGCAATTTGAACAATTTGTTACTGGAGCGTCTCCTGTATAAATGGCCCTCTACTCTCCACACAATGACAATGGTACTAGCTGTTCAGTGCTTCTTTGATTGCAGCAACGTTTACGCCACTATACAAAAATACGCACACTCGCGAATTTGACAACATTCCCTTGAGCATTTTAGGATAGTGGGAATAGAAGCACATAGATAGGAATACCAGTTACATCACACATGAAGATTGGCGATTCGATTGCTGGCCTCGATGACTGTATTTCGTGACCATGCAATAGGTCTACAATTAGGATTCTTAATTTCGATGTGTAAAAGTATATCGCTGCTGTGGACGGCGACGGCTGACAGATTGTTTTGGTTCTGCGGCTCTCTTGACACGGGAGCTAATTTTTAGATTACTTTTTTTTACTATTCTGACGTTTACTTGGTCACATTTTGTATATACCAGTCAAACACTGCTTCCGAACAATCCGATATTTATTCTGGAGAACAAGTATTGTTTGCGATATACTGCATAGTAGAAATAATATTCTTATTTGACAGTTGTTGATTTTTGTAAAGAATTCCAAGAATACAAAACAAACAACTGACAACAAATGGCACTACACAGTCACTGTAGTTACATCAGTAAGAAAAAGATACTGTGCACCTCATTGTCAATGTAAATACAAAGTAAATAACATTGAATACAATATTTATAAGAAAAATCTTGCAGCCTTCATGGAAAAGTTGACAATCACCGTCAGTTATATTATAATAAATATTATAGTAAAAATGTTAAGTAAACACAATTATCGACTGGTTTTGGAATTGTTGAAAACATCTAAAGTCTAAATCTATTTAGTGATGGGAATTGCCAAGTCAGTTTATAATATAGTGAACACAATTTTTTGTAAATATTACTGACTGCAAAAGAAGCCCATCGTGAAGTGTCTTATTATTATTATTATTATTATTATTATTATTATTATTATATGAGGTTATTACGAGAATACCGCAAAGTATACACGAAGACAGTACATGGGAGTATCGACCGACGCGCAGCGGAGGTCGATGCGACCGTGTACTGTCTGAGTGCATACTTTGGGGAATTCTCGTAATAACTTTATTAATATAATCTTTTCCTCTCAATGATACATCATGGGTAGGCCGAAATCCCAAAAAAATTTAGAACAGATTTAGCGAATTTCTTTAGAACACGCACACGCGTCATAGTGGGGCGGATAAGCTAAAAATCGTGCACTTTGGGTTAAAAGCATGAAACTGTGTACTGTCACACGCAACGTAAAATTACCTTAATTGGTATAGTACAGGTATGATGGTTCAAATACCAAAATGGCAACAGTACCAGAAGATTTCCCTGGCGGCGGTGATAAAACACGAACACGGAGCCAACAGATGAGGTTTCAACTGGTACTGGTATTATTATACTCTGCAAACATCAAGTACAATAAAGCAGTAAAACTCCACTACTCCAAAGACTAGATACTTAAACTCCAATA